ATGAAAAAGTGCTCAATGTAACCAATGTAATTAGCCTTCAGGGAAATGCAAATCAAAGCCACAATGATATACCACTTCATAAAAATGACTATAATCAAAAAGACAGATAATTACAAGTGTCAGAAAGGATGTGGAGAAATTGGAACTCTCGGACATTACTGGTAAGAACATAAAATGGTTCAGGCAGTTTGGAAAACAGTTTGGCAGTTCCTCAAAATGTTAAACATAAAGTTATAACCCAGCATATTACTCCTATGCCCAAGTTATATGAGAACAGTGTCCATACAAACTTATAAACAAATGTTCATGGCAGCATTATTCATAAAAACCAAAAAGTGGAAACAGTGAAAATGTCTATCAACTGAGAGTGGGTAAACAAATGTGGTATATCCATAAAATAGAATATTATCAGTAATAAAAAGAAATGAGGTACTAATACTGCTACAACATGGATGAAAACATTATGTTAAGTGAAAGAAGCCTGTCAAAGATCACCACATTTTGTACGATTCCACTTATAAGAAATGTCCAGAGTAAGCAAAGCTATAAAGACAGAAAGTAGACTAGTGGTTGCCAGAGACTGGAAGGAATGGGGGTGAAGAGTAACTGCTAATGGGTGTAAGATTTATTTTAGAGGTGATGAAAGTATTTTAAAATTAGTGGTCACACTATTTTTAGTGGTTTGCACTATGATTGCACAATTCCATTAATATAATAAAGACCACTGAATTATATACTTTAAGAGGGTAAATCTTACTGTATGTAAATTATATTTCAATAAAGTTGTTATTAAAAAATATAAATGATTTAAATGCTCTAACAAGCAGAGGTTATCAGATTGATATTTAAAAAGCAATACTGGCCGGGCGCAATTGTTCACACCTGTAATCCTAGCACTCTGGGAGGCCGAGACGGGCAGATTGCTCAAGGTCAGGAGTTAGAAACCAGCCTGAGCAAGAGCGAGACCCTGTCTCTCTACTAAAATAGAAAGAAATTAGTTAGCCACTAATATATAGAAAAACTAGCCCGGGCAGTGGCGCATGCCTGTAGTCCCAGCTATTGGAGGCTGAGGCAGGAGGATCACTTGAGCCAGGAGTCTTGAGGTTGCTGTGAGGCTAGGCTGATTTGCCATGGCACTCACTCTAGCCTGGCAACAAAGTGAGACCTGTGCTCCAAAAAAAAAAAAAAAAAAAAAGCAATACTAAATTCTATACTATCTAAAAGCAAAACTAGGTTAAAAGTAAGAGGATTGGGAAATAATATACCATGTTAACTGTAGGGGACTGACATTATACTTTCCTGGTTTAAGAATTAAATTTAGTGAGTAATGTACGTGCTCTGCCCAGAGCATTTGAGAGTAATGTGTTCTGGACAGGGCCCAGGTAACAAACAAGGTTGCTGCATAGAGGCATAACAAAGGCCTGAGTTTCTGCATGTAGGCAAGAGCTGCCCAGACCCATGATTAATGGAGGCCTGGAAGCCACACAATAAACGCATTGTTCTTATTATTGTTGCTTGGCCCTGTAAGATGGCTGGATAGTCAATGACAGGTAAGATTCCTCGAGGAGGAACAACCTAAGATAGGCACAGAAGCCAGGGGGCCAGCCAGGAGAAACTGGGGACGGAAAGTGCCCCCTGTGGCTGCCTTGTTTAATCTTGTTTATCTCAGCCTGTGACCTATGCCTGGAAACTTTGAGTCAATAAACATCTGTTTCCTCAGGCTATGTGTTCTAGAACAAACGACTATTACTGCAACATCTGGTTGGTCACATACAAGGAACTAACTTTGATTTTGGGGGGTATAAAAATAAAATGAGTGGTACGTTCTGCACTGCAGTCTTGTACTGTTTTGTGTGTGTGTGTCTTTCCTTTTGTGTCTCTTTATTCTGTGTTCATCCCCCATCCTGCAAACAGGCCACGGCATTAACACCAATCAAAAGAAGTCCTGGACAGGACTTTGCAGAAAACTCCAACCCAGAGCCACAAACAGGCATAGGGAAAAAAGCTCCAAGGAAAGTCTGTTCATTCTAGCCAAAGGACAAGGAAAAGGTCAATGGCCTAATAACAGAAAATCTTTTTGGAAGGACCCTTCCTGCTCCAGCCAAACACCAACGGACAAACGTTACCCCCAGATTTCAGTCAGTGGGCAGGGAAGTTGATTGTCCACCTCACTTCCCATCCCAATGGAAGCAGACTGTACAGTCTAATTTCTCCACTCAGCAGCATCAGCAGGCAAAATAGGAAGCTGGCCTTCCGTTCCCCTGCTGGCAGAAGCAGGTGGTTCTCCAATTCCCCAGCAAGGTGATGTCAGCAGGGTCTAACAATGAGCTGAGCCGCCATCCCCACCTGGCAACAATGAGGCAAAATGAGTTGGTGTGAGGTAGGGCAGTCAACACTCAGATCCCCCTCTACCCCTGTGTTGGCAGTGCTCATTGAGGAACTGAGTCTCCATACTCACCCAGCAGCAGCGTAAAAGAACAAGGCAGTGGAAAACAGGGTTAATTGGAGCTCCTGTTCCCCTTGTCAGAGAGCCCCAGTGCTGAGCTAAGCCTTGACTCCTACCCAGCATCAACCAGGCAGGAGGTAGGTCTAGTGGGCCCTCTCCTTTCCTCCCTTACCTGGTGGCACCTGACCCAGCAGAGAGCTGATTATCCCCATTCAGAGAAAACAAGGCCATGTGATTCAGCACCTCCCTTTTTGCAGGGGGGGAGCCAGTGGGACCCAGCAGGAAACAACATATGCATCCACAGACTTTCACAGTACATCTCAACAGGGGGAACTACCTGCTCAAAAAAAGTTAAATAGAATCAGAGTTTCATAATACAATATCTATAATGTCCAGGCTATAAGTAGAAATTATTTTTCATTCTAAGAACTAGAAAAGCACAACATGAATGAGAAAAGACAATCAACCAATATCAACGCAATGATGAATCAGATGCTAAAATTATTGGACAAGGATTTTAAAACAGCTGTCATAAAAATGCTTCAATGAGCTATTACAAATTACCTTGAAACAAATGAAAAAATAGAGAATATCAGCCAAAAAACTAGAAAATTATGAGAAAAGAACCAAGTACAAATGAGAAAACTGAACAAGTGGAATTAAAAAGCTCTCTGGATAGATTCAATAGGAAAGGGGAAATGACAAGAGAATAGACTCTGTAAACTTGGGAATTGATCAATAGAAGCCACCCAGTCTGAACAACAGTGAGAAAATAGACTGAAAAAAAAAAATGAGTAGAGTCTGAGACCTACAGGACAATAATGAAAGATCTAAATCAGGGGTCCTCAAACTTTTTAAACAGGGGGCCAGTTCACTGTCCCTCAGACCGTTGGAGGGCCATTGAAGAGTGTGGTGCACATTCCACACATGGGCACTGTGGGCCCAGGACGAGTCAGCTGCTAAGCAGGACAGGCAGTGGCGGCAACAACACCTGGCGGGCTGGATAAATGTCCTTGGCGGGCTGCACGTGGCCCGTGGGCCGTAGTTTGAAGACACCTGATCTAAATTCATATTGGAATTTCAGAATAAGAGGAAGTTTCAGAATAAGAGGCAAGGGGGGATGAAAAGGTATCCAAAGAAATAATGACTGGAAGTTTCCCAAATTTGGCAAAACTGTACTGGAAGAGGTAATTGACTACAATCATGAGGACATATATAAGGGGGATAGAGAGAAGTGTGGATGGACCTCAGAGATTCACTGCGACCCGTCTTGGTATTTCCATGTCTATCGCTAGCATTGAACAGGCAATTGCATCAACCACGGTCTAAAAGGGTATGGTAACCAGGGGCTTAGGCCCTTCAGGGATAAGGGTTTGGGTTACCCACTGAGCAAGAAACCAAGACCCGCAGGAATGCGGAATGAGGGTGTGAGAGAATATAGAATGGGTGATAGATGAGAGAGACAATGAATGATAACTATGATGTTGGACCAACTGCAACAGCAAGGAATTTACTTGTCTTATTGACTCCTATTTTAGGTCTTTTTTTTTTTAAAGAAGCTGTAATTAGTCACCACCTTGAGAAATCAATGACAAAACAGATGAATATGTCATGCATGAGTGTATCAAGACAGTAGAAGAGTTGAAGTGAAGCTATCAAAGCACTCCCCCCACATAAACCGTTGGTATTTTTCATGTCTTTGCATACTAGCTCAACTTCCCACTGTCAGCACCTCTGTGCCTGAGGGGTCTTTCTGGCAAGTGGAGCTTTCTTTGCCCATGTGCATAGCAAACTCTGAATACTAGAAACTTAATGTGCCTGGTGAGAAACTCTCAACCAATGACTGACAGGAGTTGGTAGATGGTAGCCAGTCATCAAGGTGACTCCAATGATCTCCATCATCTCTGGTATTCATGCTTTGTGCAATTCCCTTCTACATTCTATCAGGTGGATCTGTATGACCCACAGAATTTAGCAGCAGTAATGGTATGACACTTCTGAGGCTAGATTATAAAAAACATTTCTCTCTCTCTCTTTCTCTCTCTCTGCCCCTCTCACTCTCTCTCCACCCTCTTCCCTAGATTACCCTCTCTGGAAAAAGCCAGCTACCATGCCATGAAGACACACTATAAAGAGATCCATCTGGCTGGGCACAGTGGCTTGCACTGTAGTCACAGCTACTCAGGAGGCTGAAGTGTGAGGATCACTTGAACCCAGGAGTTCATGACTACCTGGGGCGATACAAACAGACCTCAGTCTCAAATAAGAAAAGAGACAGAGAGAGCTATGTGATAAGGATCTGAGGCTTCTTGCCTACAGCTATGCAAGTGAATCATCTTGGAAGTGCATCCTCCAGTCCTAGTCAAGCCTTTAGATGATTTCATCTTAACTAAAACTTCATAAAAAAACCCTGACTCAACACTACCCAGCCAAGCTGCTCCCAAATTCCTGACCCACAGAAACCGAGATAATAAATGTTTGTTGGCTAAATAAATGCTTAAGCTGTTTTGTTTGGAGTAATATATTATGCATGAAAAATATAACTAATATAGTGGATAAGTATTCCAATTTTCTTATCCTTTCAGAAGGATAATTCTAAGCTTGTGTTCCACTGGCTCCACAGTTCTCTGGCAGAATTAAATTCTGGTTGTCCACAAGAAGCCAGTAAAGTGTAACAAATGTACACTTCATCTGCTTCCTTCCCTCCCTAGCTCACTTTTCCACTTTCCTACTGGTGTTTCCTGGGATTACTTCTCAAATAACTACTTGCACTCAAGTCTGATTCCAAAGTCCTCAATCTTAACTCACAGCAGGCATGCACTCAGGAAACAAAACTTCTCACTGCTGTGGTTGCATTTTGAATTTTGATGCAGCTGAGGAGGCCTCATTGTCACCGTGTCTCTCACGGCACAGAGGTAGGAGGCAGAGTCTTTCATCTGGAGCTCCTTCAGAAGGAGGTAACTGTACCCAGCAGAGCGATTAAGGAATGAAGAAAAGCGACCTCTCCCCTCCAAACCATCCAGAACACTGTAAGAGAGAAATATGGGTGCTCCTCTGTCACGTTGCTGGTACCAGGACAGTCCATTGAACCCAGATGTCCGATACGTGCAGTCCACCTGCATGAAGGCTCCTTCCACAGCTGTCAACTCACTGGGCTGCTCAATGCTTTGTCCTGCAGTGCCTATGACAAGACACATCATTGTTAAGAAGCATAGGCCCCATGTGGTCACAAAAGAACTGCCACCGATAGAGGAGAAGTAAATGGTGGCAGAAGTAGCAGCAGCAATAGCAACAGAGGACAATTAGCACCACATAAGGAAAATGCGTATAGCAAAGGCTGTTTCATTACAAATGTCAAAAGTTGCAATCATTTTGCTGGAAGGAAATTATTTTGAAAACTTCCAGCAGCATTTGCTATTAAGTTGAGACTTACCTCCCATCTTCAGAAAAACATAAAGAAGGAAAAATCCCCACATCTGCTGTGGCACCCCACGATCCTGGCCCTGCATCCCTGGTTTCTGAGCCACTGGAGTCTGCAGAAGGTAAACTCTCCGTGTGGGTGAGGGAGGGGAGCTCAACCTGGGTGCAAAACCCAGAAGAAACACGAAGGGAGGAGCTCCTTTCTTGCCAGGGTGACTGTAAGCACCACAGGAGTAGCTATGGGTTCCCTTACAGGAATCGCTTCACATGAACATTTTCTACTGATAAATCCACAAGTTTTAGTCCAAGTGATTCTGGTGAAGACTGAAAAGCATAATGTGTATGAAGAACAGAGAAGGCAAATGTGAAGAATAACAAAAGGCAAAAGCAGACGTGGTCAATCTCCCCATGCCAAGTGTTTCTCTTCTCAAGATAGATTTCTCAAAGAACTAAAAATAGAACTATCATGCCAACCAGTAATACCACTACTGGGTATCTACCCAAAGGAAAAGAAACCATTATATAAAAAAGACACTTGGTGGGGGAAGGCAGAGGGAGATTGGTGGTAGGAGGTGGCTTAGTGGGTACAATGAGCACTGCTTCAGTGATATACACACTGAATGGCCTGACTTCACCACCATACAATACATCACTGTAGCAAAACTGCACATGGACCCCATGAATAAACACAAATAGAAAATGAATGGGGAAAAAATAAAAATAAATAAAAATTTAAAATATACCTACACTTGTATTTTCATCCCAGCACCATTCACAATAGCTTAGTTATGAATCAACCTAAATGTCCATCAACAGATGATTGGGTAAAGAAGACATGGTATATATAAATATATATCCCATGGAATACTACTCAGACATAAAAAAGAATCAAATCATGTCTTTCGCAGTAACATGGATAGAAGTGGAAGCTATGATCCTAAGTAAAGTTACTCAGAAACAGAAAGTCAAATATCACATGTTCTCATAAGTGGGAGCCAATCATGTGTACACATGGACATAGTGGAGCAAGAGACCCTGGGGACTCCAAAAGGCGCGAGGTTGGGAGGGGGGTGAGGTATGAAAAATTACCTATTGGACACAATGTATACTATTTGAGTGATGGTTACACTAAAAGCTCAGATTTCACCACTACCCAATATATCCAAGTAACAAAACTTCATTTGTACCCCCTAAATATATGAATAAATAAGTAAAGAAAGAAAGAAGAAAAATTGGAAACCATATGCAATTAGAGGTGGGTTATGTACACATTGTGTGTATATTGTTGTTGTAGTATCATCATTGTTGTTATTTGTGACAATAAAGAAGAGATGGAGGCTGGGTGTGGTGGCTCACGCCTGTAATCCTAGCACTCTGGGAGGCCAAGGCGGAAGGATCGCTCAAGGTCAGGAGTTGGAGACGAGCCTGAGCAAGAGCAAGACCCCGTCTCTACTAAAAATAGAAAGAAATTAATTGGCTAGGTAAAAACATATGGAAAAAATTAGCCGGGCATGGTGGCGCATGCCTGTAGTCCCAGCTACTTGGGAGGTTGAGGCAGAAGGATTGCTTGAGCCCAGGAGTTTGAGGTTGCTGTGAGCTAGGCTGACGCCACGACACTCTAGCCCAGGCAACAGAGTGAGACTCTATCTCAGAAAAAAAAAAAAAAAGTTCAAGATAAATATAATGTACATGTCTATGCATGTGTATGTATACATATGAATAAAAAGGAAGAAATGGAAAAATAAAAGAAAGTATTAACATTAGTTACTTCAGAGGGTTGGAATTAAAAGAAAATGGTGAAAATACTAACCTTTTCTTATACATCTCTGTTTGTTTGACTTGAAAACTTTGATGTGATAAAGTGAGAATTTGAAAGAAAGAATAGGAAAGGAATAAAGGAGGAGAGAAGAAGAATAGGTGGGAAAAAATGAAGAAAGGGAGAGAGGGACGGAATGAGGAAGAAATCTATATTTCCAACTATTTCCCAAGTGCTGCAACAGGAAGGTAATTCTTTCTGACACATAGTTTTCCTAAACTAATGGATACCTCATATATAATATCTTTACTAAAGTAATTTATATCCCTCATGAACCTTCTGGATTTATTTCTATTTACTCGATGTAGCAGAATACAGTGCAGTACTTGGTTTTAATAAAAGCAACACTGTCATCTTGTGGCGAATTGTAGTAGTGCATATCTCTCTCCCTCTCTCCACCCTCCACACCCCCCCCAACGTGCCAAACTCTAAACACCTTCTCCCTTAGTAATTTCGAATTAAAAGGAACCTTAGAAATCATCCAGTCTTTGTCCAGCTCCATCATTTTACAGTGAAGGGTCCTGAGGCTTATATCACACTCCAGGTTTCATTTCTTCATTTCTAGCCAATTCCTCAGTATTACTTAAATTAACGATAACTTTTGTAAAATAAATAGATGGACTTCCAAAGCTACTTGCCCCGGAATATGCTATCGAGACCTGCATATTCACAGGAGGACTGATTTCATGTCAAATCTACTCCAGGTAATTTTAAATGTGCAGTGCATATTTGAAACCACAGCTTTTTTTCTTCCTGTCCACAGCATTTAATAGGTTTCCCCTACTAGGTAGTTTCCCCTAGTAATTCATTCAAAAGTATTTACTGAGAACACATCATGTGCCTGGCACTGTGCTAGTGGTGCTGGGGATTCCACACTGAGCATATCTCCCTCCTCTTATGAAGCCCACATTCTAGCAAAGGGAGAAAAACAATAAACAAAAAGTCAATACAGTGTGGCAGATGGTGGTAAGTGCTGCTGAGAAAAATCAAACAAGGAAGGGGAAGGAGGAGTCAGGAGAGACTTCGCTGATTGAGCAGAAACCAGAAGGAGATGATGGAGGAGTCCTGATGAGTATTTGGGGAGGGAAGGTGATCAATTGAGATCTCATAACACCTCTAAGAAATTACAGGTCATCCAAAACCATACTGATGAGGCTATTCCCTACAGTTCCCTTTCCACCGATCTTCTGGAAACATTTACAGCTCTCTCTCAAAACAAACTAATGAGGATGTGGGGAGGAGAGATCTCATTAGAGAAATACTTCAAGGTAGGATTTCCCTTGAGGTTAAAGTATTTTCTTCAAATCTCTTGGCAGTGGTTTTTAATTTTTTTTCTTTTAATCAGAGCTACAGAGGCAACAGCCAATACTGATATAAAATATGACTTGAGATATATAGAAGTCACTTTCGTCAAAGAGCCCTGAAAGAAAGGCAGGTGCTTTCAGAAATTCTGACTACTTATTTGTCAGGCCAAACTCCTAAAAGAATTCTACAGCCTTTCCAAAACAGATGTGGGAGCCCTTTGCAATAGGCTGGGCTGAGTCTCCATCGGCTGGACCACTCCGCTCCCGGACAGCCAGCATCCCCCACAATTTTGCAGGTCTGTACATGTGACTCTAAGAGGTTGGCAAAAGCAGTCCTAGAACCAGCTCCTTTCAAAATAAGGCCGCGAACTAATCTTGGAACTTTTAGACTTTCTGTCATTTCATCCAAGTGTTAATGTAATCAATCTCTTTTCTCCAGCTTCTTCTTCAACTCTCCCAAACTGCTAGAATTAAGTTCCTTTTTTCCAAACTTGGGGAATTTTTGTGTTTCAAAAAATGATTCTTAAAAGAAAAATCTTAACACTATGTTTTTGTTTTGTTTTGTTTTCTCTTTTTATTAGGGCAGTAGTAAAGGGCAGAGCTGGGCACTGATAAAGTCATAAGGATCATGAGGAAGATTCTTTGATGATTGTGCAAACACAAAGCCAGGCTCAATTTACAACCTTTCCTTTCCCCAGTGAAGAAGGCACTAGATGCCTTTTCTTAAGCAACGTCTTTTTGGTTAACCTTTGATAAAAGGACAAGAATCTACTCTTGTGGATTAGATAAAATATATCCAGGCCACCCCAAATTCTATTCATTTCCTCTATTCTGCCCTAGCTCTACCAGGATGTCTAACTGTGAATGAAGGATGATGGAAGGTGAATCTTCTTTTTGGAAACAGATTTGAGGTGGGTCTTGTCACAGGGGTACATAGGAGTACTTTGATGTTAATATATCCAATACAACACTGGACCAGTCTTCACTCCTTGTCTTCAGGATGTCATAACTCTTCCCTAGTAGCCCAGATCCCAAAGGTCACTGTAGAAATCCAAACAAAGTTTCAGATTGCTGGATAGAGGCTTGCCCTCCTCTGGGCCTCTCCAAATGGAAATCCACTGCAAGAGACGTGCTGACATCAAACCAGCCTGATTTGGGGCAGGGTGGGGGACACAGAAAATGGCTCATCCTGTGACCCCATGATGCCACAGAGGTCTCTTGAAGGTGTTCTTCTCCCTCCCTGCCCTGCCTTTCTCAATGCCACTCTTTCATTCTGTCCCCAGAGCCTCTCCCTAGAGTTTCCAGGATAATTGCTTTTTAAAAATGTATTGTTTATTCTTGCTGTTATCAGGATCTCATTTTCAGATGCTTTTTGTATTGAACATTGACCTTTTGTTATTTTTATGTGCTTTGATTATTTAAATTCTGATCATTTTACAAAAGGATTTTAGCAACATCAAATTCAGTGTAAAACTTGCGAAATTTTAGAATATTTTGCTTATCTAATTCACCAGGGTAGATATACTAAAAATTTTTTTAATTTTTTGAAACCCTTTAAGTCTGCCCCTTTCTTTACCTTAATATCTTCAGATTCAACAGCTAAAAAAGAGGAGCAGACCTAAAACAAAATGACATGAATGCTAGAGTATAAGGGAGGGGGATGAAAGGACACTCAAATGTGGTCTCTTCTTTTGTTTCTTCTAGGCTGACCCCAGACGGTTCTCTTCTCTTGTCAAGAAAACCAATCCTTCTGAAAACATATTCCCTGTGTCTCCAAAAATCTAACCTCTGGAAATCTAAGCAGTCCTCCTCTGTAACCCTTGAACTTCCAAAGTTAACTTCTAAGGTAAGACCACCATTCTTTGCCAAATCTGCCTGAAAATGTAACCTTTCCTCAAATCCACCAGCTGTAACCTACCTCAGTTTCCTGGGTCCTCCCAGGCAGAGGACACAGAACCCAGAGGAGTAAAAAAGAGCTTTCTTCCAACAGGACACCTGGGAAAAATGACACGAGATTTTTTTTTTTTTCTTTGAGACAGAGTCTTGCTTTGTTGCCCAGGCTAGAGTGAGTGCCGTGGCGTCAGCCTAGCTCACAGCAACCTCAAACTCCTGAGCTCAAGCAATCCTCCTGCCTCAGCCTCCTGAGTAGCTGGGACTACAGGCATGAGCCACCATTCCCGGCTAATTTTTTCTATATATATTAGTTGGCCAATTAATTTCTTTCTATTTATAGTAGAGACGGGGTCTCGCTCTTGCTCAGGCTGGTTTCGAACTCCTGACCTCGAGCAATCCTCCCGCCTCGGCCTCCCAGAGTGCTAGGATTACAGGCGTGAGCCACCGCGCCCGGCCTTTTATTTCTTCTTTCTTAGTGGGAAAAAGGCAAGTTTACGATTTTCTGTGAACCATGAAGAGCCAGGTATATTCAGTATTAGTATTATTATTTTACTACTACTAATAGTTCTTAATACTTATTATTATTACTACTACTACTATGAATTAAGTGACCTTAGAGAATAAGCAAGATAAAATCTCTTTGGGGAATTCCTAATAGGTATTAAATAGTTAAACTTAATATTCATGTTATTTATAATTCATCTGTTATAATTTTAATTACTTTGTGAAAATAGTCATTTAAATTGCAAAGTTACTTTGTGGTTAAATGACAAATGAATACATCTCAAACCCTAGTGTGAGGGGAAAATCTTTATTAAACAACTTATTCAACAAAATGAATGAAACAAACACATTTCATCCTTATCATCTGGTTAAGACACTTGAAAATCTTTAAAGGTCTTTAGAGAGAGTTGCTATATTATAGACTGCAAAATGTATTTTACACGCAAACATACTAAAAATCAAGCCCTGCATTAATCAATGCTTTCATAATAAACAATAAAAATTCCTCTGTGACCCTATACAAAAAAATCCAATTTCAAACCAGTTGACCATATAAATCAACCAATAAATCTGAATCATATCCTAAGGCAATAAAAAGCATGAATGTTCCTCGGAGTTTGTTATAATGAAACTGGATTCTACAGCATAATGAATAAGACAGTGTCTTGTCCTAAAATTCCCAGCCAAGAGGGCACAAGGGGCAAACAAACAAGATCAAACAGAGAAACCACTGTATCCATTCAGAGAGAGTTGGCAACATCCATTCAATCAGCCATTCAGAAAATAATTGCAGTATTTATCACTTTTACTGTGCTAGATGGGATGACTAATAGGAGAGACAAACAAAAACTTAGACAATGACAATATAATGTGTTAAGCACTCTGAAAAGCATAAGCGTGGTCCTCAGGAATCAGGAAAAACTTCTTTTTTTTTTTTTTTTTTGAGACAGAATCTCAGTCGGTAGCCTGGGCTAGAGTGCCGTGGTGTCAGCTCACAGCAACCTCAAACTCCGGCCTCAAGCAATCCTCCTGCCTCAGCCTCCTGAGTAGCTGGGACAACAGGCATGCGCCACCATGCCCGGCTAATTTTCTATATATGTTTTTTTAGTTGGCCAATTAATTTCTTTCTATTTTTAGTAGAGACGGGGTCTCGCTCTTGCTCAGGCTGGTTTCGAACTCCTGACCTTGAGCGATCCTCATGCCTCAGCCTCCCAGAGTGCTAGGATTACAGACGTGAGCCACCGCTCCCAGCTAGGAAAAATTTCTTGAAGGTGGAGACACCCAAACTGAATCCTGAAGGAAAAGTGTACACTACCAAGGTGAAAGGACAGAAAACGTAGCACGTGTGTAAGTCCCAAGTGAGAGTGTGCCACTGGAAGGGCCCTGAGGCATCCCGTGTATCTGAGCACTAAGAAGGAATTGCAAGGAGTGAAATGAGTGGTAAATGAGGGCAGATGAGGAATATTTTTGCATGCTATGATGATGAGATGAGATTTTAGCTAAAGGCAAAGAGGAGGCACTGCAATGATGGTAGGGGAAGAAAACATAGATGTGGGAATTGTAGGGCATTTGTTCCATACTGCTCTGCATCAACCCTACCACCACCTTGCTGAACACCCTTTTTGGTTGGAGTTTTTGATCCTTCTCTATCATTCACATGTCCCCCTATTCCTTGATCTGCCAAATCCTGCTTCTCAGTATCTCATCATGGACGAGAGTTTCCATCCATTCATTCAGGAAACTAACCAGCCTCGGGAAGGTTTCTTCTATCAAGTTAGCTTAAATAATTAATGGTGCCACAACTTCTTTTAAAAAAAATTTTTGACGTTTACATGCAGTAATGTCTATAGAAAAAAATGCAATGCTGTTCTGTTTATCTCATAACTCGTAGGCACTAATCATCAGACAAAAGCATTCCCTTACAACTTCACTGTGCTGTGTCCCTCTTGTCTGACTTCACCACTCATCTTAGCAGACTACAAAAAGACATGAGAAAGACCAAAAACACATCTCTGGACACCGTGGTAACAGAATTCATTCTCCTAGGCTTGCCCCACACCCCAAATCTAAGAATCCTCCTCTTCCTGGTCTTCCTCACCATTTACATCCTGACTCAGCTGGGGAACCTGCTCATCCTGCTCACCGTGTGGGCTGACCCGAAGCTCCACGCTCGCCCCATGTACATCCTTCTCGGAGTACTCTCCTTCCTGGACATGTGGCTCTCCTCAGTCATCGTTCCCCGGCTTATTTTGAATTTTACTCCTGCAAGCAAGGCGATCCCATTTGGTGGCTGTGTGGCTCAGCTGTATGCCTTTCACTTCCTGGGCAGCACCCAGTGCTTCCTCTACACCTTGATGGCCTACGACAGGTACCTGGCAATATGCCAGCCCCTGCGCTACCCCATGCTCATGAATGGGAGGTTGTGCACAATCCTTGTGGCTGGAGCTTGGGTGGCTGGCTCCATCCATGGGTCTATCCAGGCCACCCTGACCTTCCGCTTGCCCTACTGTGGGCCCAATCAGGTGGATTACTTTTTCTGTGACATCCCTGCAGTGTTGAGACTGGCCTGTGCTGACACAACTGTCAATGAGCTTGTGACCTTTGTGGACATTGGAGTTGTGGCCGCCAGTTGCTTCATGTTAATTCTGCTCTCCTATGCCAACATAGTCCACGCCATCCTGCAGATACGCACCGCTGATGGGAGGCGCCGCGCCTTCTCCACCTGCGGCTCCCACCTAACCGTCGTCACCGTCTACTATGTCCCCTGTATTTTCATCTATCTTCGGGCTGGCTCCAAGAGTCCCCTGGATGGGGCAGTGGCTGTGTTTTACACTGTGGTCACTCCATTACTGAACCCCCTCATCTACACACTGAGGAACCAGGAAGTGAAGTCTGCTCTGAAGAGGATAACAACAGGTCGAGGGCCTGTGAATGGAAATAAGTAACCACACCCACATCACCCTCACCACCACTGTTTTCAGCTACTGCTGCACGTGACAAATGCTCAGTGAACCTGTAATGACTTAACCTGAATTTAATTTTATTTGTAAGAAAATTCTGAACTCTTTGAACCCAAAATCTTTTCATCTCATTAAATTAGTTCAAATTGTTTTGCATTATTTAATTTAAAACAAATGGATACATTCCATCTACCACCTCTGATTACCTTATGAGATAAGAAAATGCCTTATCAAAGGCCAAATAAGATGATAATAAGTCAATGTCTTAGGAGAAATATTATGCCAGAAAATGTGAAAGAGAAAAAAAGTAGCATAATGCTACTTTAGCCCTTTTTTCATTCTCTTTGCTCCTAATTCTAAACTTCTATAAATTCTGTGTTTCTTTACTTGTCTGTGGCATGAATATTTCCAAGAATTTGAACTTGAAAATCCTGGATCATTTGTGTTTCTTTCCTGTCTCTTACCCTTCACGTGTTGTAACATACCAAAATTTGTCTCTTCCACCTCTAGAATATCTCTCTTGATTCCTAACCAGTCTTTTTGTCCTTTTAATCCTCATCTATATCCCAGTCAAAATTACCCTTCTGAAACACAAAATCTATAGTACTCTCCAATGAATGCAGAATAAGGACAGAGTCCTTAATCTGGAACTCAAAGTCCAATAAAATCTGGACCTAACATACCTTTTTTCCCAAGACATCTCCACCCTTCCTTCCCTCTCCCACCCTCACTGACTTACTGCCGTTCCTTGAGCATGCCCTATACTTGCCCATGCTCTTCCGCTCAAGCTCTGCCCTCTATCTAGAATATACTGCCTCCCTCTCCACATTGACCAAGTGAAGATGTATGCTTCCGTCAGATCCATATCAAACATTTTCTTATCTGATTTTCCCAGGCAGGATTTAGCTAGCTCCTCTTCCCTTGCATTGCCATGGTCTCTTTATTACAGACTTTGTCACAGTCTGTCATATATTGCAGTCAAGAATTCACCTTTCTTCTCACCCCAAATAGACTATGAGTTCTCAGAGGACATGAAGTATTCATAGGTGTTTGCGTCTGCCCCTCTCCCCTAGTAACTAGGAACAGAAACAGAAATCAATGTTTGCTGCTGGAGAGACACAGCACCAGGAAAGTCTCTCGAAATGTATCTTAGACAAAATTTTAAAATTGTGAAGTTATCCCTCTGTTACTTGTCCTGGTATCACCTGGAAAAACAAGAGAACATTTAAAAGAAACTGAAAACAAAAGAGTGAAGTACATGGCAGTCTAAAAGTAAGTATAGACAGTTCTGAAGTGAATAAATGAAAAAGGTAAAAGTATTCTTTCATTTGCTGACATATCTTACACTTCTTTGGTTGTGTGGTGTCAGGTTGGCCCATTTTCACAGTGAAATGAAAACAAAGGCAAGGAAAGACTCAAAGTTCATAAATGTAAAAAATATACTAATATGGATATAAGAATCACATTGTGGGCCAGGCATGGTGGCTCACACCTGTAATCCTAGCACTCTGGGAGGCTGAGGCGGGGCGGATCGCTCAAGGTCAGGAGTTCAAAACCAGCCTGAGCGAGAGCAGGACCCTATCTCTACTATAAATAGAAAGAAACTAATCAGCCAACTAAAAATATAGACGGGCCCAGCGTGGTGGCTCACACCTGTATTCCTAGCACTCTGGGAGGCGGAGGCGGGCGATTGCTCGAGGTCAGAAGTTCAAGACCAGCCTGAGCAAGAGCGAGACCTGGTCTCTACTATAAATAGAAGAAACTATGCTGAAAACTCAGACTTGTGGGGGGAGGGGGGGAAGGGCATTTATTGAAACCTTAAAATCTGTACCCCCATAATATGCCAAAATAAAATAAAAGAAAAAAGAAAGAAACTAATTGGCCAACTAATATATATAGAAAAAAATTAGCTGGGCATGGCGGTGCATGCCTGTAGTCCCAGCTACTTGGGAGGCTGAGGCAGGAGGATCGCTTGAGCCCAGGAGTTTGAGGTTGCTGTGAGCCAGGTTGATGCCACGGCACTCTACCCCAGGAAACTGAGTGAGACTCTGACTCAAAAAAAAAAAAAAAAAAAAAAAAAGAATCACATTGTGCTATGCAGAAAGGTCATAATATCAGGAAGGAGACTTACTATGGGAGGAGACAAGCAAGGCAGTATAGGGTTCACAATAATTTGTTAAGCTTGAAACAGCTAAGTCATTGAAAATTGCCAACCATATATTTGAAAAACATTATTTTTAAGGAAATCTAGAAATCATTGATTGTTCTAACACTTCCTTTATGTAGCACTTAAGCCAATGTGCAATACTGTTGCTAGAATAGATGAGATCTTGAGGTCACATGTAAATTCATCCACAAAATGCTTCATCCACAAAATGTAGTGACTCTTAGGATTACATGTATGAATGCTAATTAAGTTCATCAACAAAACACAACTAATCTTAAAGGATACCAAGGGATTCTGTGGCACAGAGCTGTTAGCAGGAATTCATCTAGCTTCAACACAAAGAAGGTTATGAGTCAAAACCATGAAACCAGCTCAAACTCTGAAACAAGTAAACAAACATGAGGCTGCACCTGTGCTTACTTCTGTTTGCTATATAAAACCTGGGCCCTTTCGTTTCAACAGCATCCTTCCTGACATCTATTCCCACCTCCTTTTCCACAACCCCTTCCTTCTTCCTCCTAATTTCATACACTTAAGATCATTTCCATTCATCTAAAGGAACTAATTAAACTATCTCACACTAAATATGAAGGATTATGGGTCACTTAACTTAAATTTGAGCATCAATTTACGGATGGTTGGTGAAAAACAGCTTTAGTTCAGAGACTCCAAATTTTAGTGTGCTAAAACAACTACCTGATAAACTTTTAGCATATCTACCCATTTTAGAAAGACATCATTATAGAAAGGAAAGAGAACAAAGCTTATAGTTGTACAACTTTCTGTTAGAGTACAACTTTCTGTTAACAGAATCTTGATTCTGCCATCAACTAGCTATGTGTCCTTGCATAAATTAACTATCCTTTCTGAACTCTTATTGCTTTAGGTATAAAATATGGGTAATAAGACTGATTTCAAAGGAGCTGTTAAGAGAATTGAATAAAATAACCAATGTAAACTTTCTGAAACATGATAGGCACTTAATAAATGATTGCTACAGTCATCACTTTCATAATCATTACCCAGGATTTGAAGAAGGGTTTGTGTTAAGAGATGAACTGTGAATCATACAAGAATGTGGATACAGAAAATATTGTGTGATGGAGAAGCCACCATTCCCTCCAGGGGATGGAGTGAAAGATTGCAGGGTGAATGACTAGCAAATCAGACAGGTAGAAAATGCATCAGCAACAGCAGCAGAAGCACAAAGAGACTTTGCATTTCCACATTCACAGAGTAGTAGGAGGACCAACTGCTGCTTCTTCTGGGAGGCAATGACCCAGCTATAACAAACTTTCACTTACTGGAACTTCTTAGTCTCCACAAGGACTGGCCTTCATTATCTGAGGAGCTTGGACATGCAGTTAAGAATCTTCTACTAGGCTGGGCGCGGTGGCTCACGCCTGTAATCCTAGCACTCTGGGAGGCTGAGGCGGGCGGATTGCTTGAGATAAGGAGTTCAAAACCAGCCTGAGCAAGAGTGAGACCCGGTCTCTACTATAAATAGAAAGAAATTAATTGGCCAACTAATTATATAGAAAAAATTAGCCGGGCATGGTGGCGCATGCCTGTAGTCACAGCTACTTGGGATGCTGAGGCAGGAGGATTGCTTTGAGCACAGGAGATTGAGGTTGCTGTGAGCTAGGCTGATGCCATGGCACTCACTCTAGCCTGGGCGACAAAGTGAAACTCTGTCTCAAAAAAAAAAAAAGAATCTTCTACTTATGTTCATATATATCCTAAGGAAAAACCCTCATATTTAAGGTATCCGTAATGCATCTTTATTAAAATTTACACTAACCTTAAAAGACCATGATGGCCTTGAGAAAAGGTTTGCTCATTGGAAGATGCTCTCCAAGGAACATAAAGGCAAACAGTGTGAGAAAAAAAGTCCTTGATGTTTCCTAGTTGCCCTTTGATTCTAGGCACAGACGTCCCATGCCTCAGTTTAACACTGGACCTGATGCTTATGCTTCTAGAGAGCAGCAGGTACAGCTTATAGGAGCAGCCCAAGATGAAAGGCAGGGATGTCAGCATTAGTAACCAGCAACTCTTCATCTGCCTCAGCATCCCAGATGGGGCACTCAGCCACTTTTCACCCTGGTACAATAAATTTGGGTGAGTTTTCAACTCTGGAGGTTTAATCCAATTTATCTTTTAAGACTGTAGTTTTCCAACTTTGCTAAGTTTAGAATCACCCGGGAGCCTTTTATTTAAATACTAGTGCCCAGGTTATACCACCAGAAATTCTGATTAAATTGACCTGACATGGGATGTAGGTAGGCATAGGAAATTTTAAAATGTGATTCTAATGCAGACTGAAAACTATTGCTCAAGGAGATCTGACAGTCCTCAGAAAAATCTCACTTTCCAATTCAAGGCCTGGATAGCAAGCAGAGAACCATGGCTAGTTTGCAAGTCCGTCTAAGGTTCCCAAACCTAGGTTGCAATTCCCAAGGTAAGTTCCTTAGACCATTAAGTGTAAATTATTTTTCTTTCAGTTCTGCCTACTGGTTAGTCACAAAATGGACACAGGCCTCCCTTGATCTATTGAGTAATTGACTATTGAGTAATTCACTATTACTCAAAGTGTGTGTCTACTTAGGAAAGGGAGTTCTGAAATTCTTCCTAATCCCCTCTGAAGTTCATGGGGAAATACAACAGCAGAGACCAGGAGACTCTGAAATACCAGGGTGACAGCATTTAGTTATTAGATGCTGCACCTGTTTCTTCAAGACACTTCCATCTCCATACTCAGTGACAAAGTGATTTCACAGAAGTCAAGGTTAAGCTGAGGGGATAATTAGGGAATGGCTGAGACAAAACTTGAACTGAGTGTAGAAACCCATGCCAAAAATTGGTCCAGGAGAACAGTAAGCCAGGGAAAAGCTCATGTATGACCAATGGATGGATATGGGTCAGTTGAAAAGTATAATACATACTAAACCCAATAATGAATAGTGGATAAGCATCTAGCAGTTGCTATGGAGGCAAGGTCAGATACGTTGAAAAGTTCAGAAAATACATTGAGTCAGTATGTGAAATGATGGGTCCCAGACATGAGGACCAGTTGAACCAAAACATGAAACAGTTGACTGAGATTCAGAAAGATGGCAAATAGGAAAATTACGTGGTTGTACTTGCTCAAAAGCCACACAGAATACTGCCTGACAGAACATTCCTCCAGAGCAGTGTTTTATTCTCATTTTCCCTATGGAATTAAAAAAATAGGGTTTCTGAAGGACATTAGTGGAATCCAGCTTAGAGTTTTACTCCACCTCATAAACTGGTTCTTCACAACATCAGCTTTCACTTGCCTTCACCCTTGATTTAGTGTCCAAGCCACACTTGTCTGAGAAGGGTTATGTGTGCATCCTGGGCCTCCAGCTCTCATGTCCTAAGTCCACATTCCTTACCTCCCATCCAAATTCATATTATCAAATCTATTACGGACTTTTCTTAGAAAAGGAAAAAACTATGCCCTGAAAATTGTAAAGCTCTTCTTAATGAGGATCGTGATCTTTGTGTTTCTTCCAACTGACCCCCTTCACTGTCCTTTAGTCCTGAGTACACATGCAAATAACTCTTGAAGCACACTGATGGTGCTAATTTCCCCAAAAGCAATAGATAGCCTACTCAAAACAAGAAAAATTGAAGAGGGTATTCTCTGCGTAGGGACTATTTACAAAGATATGGGAGTAGAGGAACCACAAGGAATAGTTGAGTAACCCAGGGCTTAGTAACACCTAAACTAGTTACCATCCCTAAGCCAGAAGGGAAAAAGGGATATGTCTAAGTTTCCCTGAGCTATATATGTTATAGTGAACAATCCCTCCCTGACATGGAGCATATTCTTCTAGATGAGAGTATCTTCCACCGCCGTTCTTTTGGTTATTCTCCTTAGGAACTAGAACTATTGTAAAGAGAGGTTAACCATCCTAGTGAGAATATGCTCCAGACGTCTGAGTACCAACGTGGCTCCAAAAACTCCACAGGCACCACTGGACAACAAGAAGATGTTCTATCTTGCCCACACTAGAAATACAGAGAGCCCCAAAGGTAAGATCTCAAGGCAAAGGACATTGAAGCTGGACTTATCCCCAAGTACTCAAAGGAACAAGGCCCAGAGATGCTCAAAAATCAGAGCTTCACTCAAAACTGCAGAAAAAAATTGGACTACATCCACCACAAATTCCTTCCAACCCTGAGAAC